AATTCCATCCCAGCCCCTCAGAGTGCTCCAGCCTCAGCTCCCCTGGAATTCCATCCCAGCCCCTCATCCAGGAAAACCTTCCCCCATCCCAGGGTGCTCCAGGATCAGCTTCCCTGGAATTCCATCCCAGCCCCTCATCCAGGGACACATTCCCACATCCCAGGGTGCTCCTGGAATTCCATCCCAGCCCCTCATCCTGGAAAACCTTCCCCTGTCCCAGGGTGCTCCTGGAATTCCATCCCAGCCTCTCATCCAGAGAAACCTTCCCCTATCCCAGGGTGCTCCAGCCCCAGTTTCCCTGGAATTCCATCTCAGCCCCTCATCCAGGGAAACCTTCCACCATCCCAGGGTGCTCCAGCCCCAGTTTCCCTGGAATTCCACCCCAGCCTCTCATCCAGGGAAACCTTCCCCTGTACCAGAGGGTGCTCCAGCCCCAGCTTCCCTGGAATTCCATCCCAGCCCCTCATCCAGGGAAACCTTCCCCTGTCCCAGAGGGTGCTCCAGTCCCAGCTCCTCTGGAATTCCACCCCAGCCCCTCATCCAGGAACACCTTCCCCTGTCCAAGGGTGCTCCAGCCCCAGCTTCCCTGGGAATTCCATCCCAGCCCCTCAGGGTGCTCCAGCCTCAGCTGCCCCAGAATTCCATCCCAGCCCCTCATCCAGGGACACCTTCCCCTGTCCCAGGGTGCTCCTGGAATTCCATCCCAGCCCCTCATCCAGGGACACCTTCCCCTGTCCCAGAGGGTGCTCCAGCCCCATCTCCCCTGGAATTCCACCCCAGCCCCTCAGGGTGCTCCAGCCCCAGTTTCCCTGGAATTCCATCCCAGCCCCTCATCCAGGGACACATTCCCCACATCCCAGGGTGCTCCAGCCCCATCTCCCCTGGAATTCCACCCCAGCCCCTCCCAGAGAAGCAAACCCCACCCAAAATCCAAAATCCAAAATCCTGTCCCTGACCTGGCCCAGGGCGCTGGTGAGGCCGAAGAGCAGGATGTTGGAGATGATGCTGGGATAACGCTCCGTGAAGCTCAGGAACTCCCAGAGCTCCCCCGTGAACAGGATCCCTGCAAAACAGCCGGGAGGAGCAGCCTGGATGGGGATCCCACCCTCGAGGGGCCAGGCTGGCCTCAGAACCCCCAAAGCAGGCACTGAACCCCACTAACTCCAGCAGGAAACACCAGCAGCAGAAGCAATCGCCCTCCTGGTTAATTAGTGAAGGAAAGATCGTTAACTGGGATCAAATTCCAACAGAACAGTGCCCAGCAATTAATCAGGAGTGCTAATCTTGGAATGGTTGGGGTGGAAGGGAATTTAAAGCTGCTCCAGTGCCAGGGGCAGCTCCCAGCCCTCCTGGGCTCCAGTTTGTGCTCCCAGCTGGAGCAGGAGCTGCAGGAGAGCCCAGGGAGGGCAGGGCTGGGCCATGACAAAACCCCAAAATCCCAATAAAACCAAACCCCAGAGGGCTCCAGGCCAGGGCAGGTCCCAGATCCAGCCCTGGCTCCTCACCTGCCCCCAGGAACAGCGTGGACCAGAGGTTGACGTTGAGCATCATGTGGTTGGAGCCAGTCTGGTAGTGAGCCCTCATGTGGTCCTGGGACACCCCAGTGAGCCCGTCCAGGGTCAGGGACAGCAGCTGGGCACCCACAGACAGACACACAGACAGACAGACAGGGGACACACAGACAGGGGACACCGTCAGGCCTGCTTCCTCTCCCCAGGGAAAATGGCAATTCCCCCTTCACAGCACTTCCCAACAGGGATTTCAGTGGGGCTGGAGGGTGCAGGAGGCTCCTCCCAGCACACCTGGGTTGCTGCAGCCCCAAGGCACACCTGGGAGCCTGGATTTATCCCAGGTAAATCCCACCTGGGAGCTCGGGTTTATCCCAGGTAAATCCCACTGAGAGCCTGGGGTTTATCCCAGGTAAATCCCACCTGGGAGCCTGGGGTTTATCCCAGGTAAATCCCACCTGGGAGCTCAGGTTGATCCCAGGTAAATCCCACCTGG